TAAGAGAATATCAGATTGCCACCCCACTTTAAAGGATAAGCTTAAAGTGTGTGTGTGTGTGTGTGTGTGTGTGTGTGTGTGTGTGTGTGTGTGTGTGTGTAGTGTCGTGTGTGTGTCGTGTGTGTGTGTGTGTGTGTGTGTGTGTGTGTGTGTAGTATAGTGTGTTGGTGTGTCGTGTGTGTGTGTGTAGTGTGTGTGTAGTGTCGTGTGTCGTGTGTGTGTGTGTGTGTGTGTGTGTGTGTGTGTGTGTGTGTGTGTGTGTGTTGTAGATTGTGTGAGGTCATGCACCCTCTCTCCTGCTCTCTTTACGTCTTTTGCTCATAATGATATACGCAGAACCATTGTAAAACTATTATAAGGCCCTGAAGAGACTAGCATATATTAACCCGGTACTTAATCCTGAGCAGCACTTTAAATACTTTACTACACAATGATATTTTGTGAACATTTCCAGAGTAATGCTTGAAGTATTTAGAAAATGACTTTGGCTCAAGTCCTTCTCTCCAGTTATATGATGTATCCATACATACATAGTTAGTTAAAGTGATGTTGCGTTTTTTTTTTTCAGTGTCTATAGACAAATGAGACTTCTCAGTCATTATTTAGAAGCCTGTTTGTGTTCTCTGAATAATGCAGTTCAGAGTTTTCTTAATGATCGTGATTAAATTCTTCCTTCAATTTATCGTTTGATCTCTAATAATGTCACAAAGTTGTAAAAATGCCCATCACAGTTTCATTAAACTGATTGTCTCGTTTAATAGGCCAAATATTCAGTTTCTTAATTAATTACATCAAAATGAAGCACAATTAAGAAGAAGTTGGAACCAAGCAATTAGAAAAAAAGAGTAATTTGACCTACTATCGAAATATCTGCAATTTAAATACTGACTTGATCAACAGTTTATTTGTTTAAATGTTCACACGTGTACACTTCATGTGCAGTTAAACTTAAACCACATGTATCTTGTTATCTTGTGAGTCATTATGTACATGTTCACATATTGGGGCCTTCATATGTCAATATAAATTATTCTATTTTATTGCAGCTTTTTTTGTTTAACCTCTTGTGGTAGCTTATACTGTACATATTGCTATTTCATTTATTTTATCACACTTTTCTTACTTACACTTCTTATGTTTATATACATATTTTTATTAAATGATATTACATTATAATTGAAAATATTTTTCCTAAACTCAAGTTTCTATAAATATTTTAATTTGATGTTATTCGAAAATGGAGCAACTGTCACAAAGCCGAATTTCCCCCAGGGATAAATTAAGTATTCTGATTCTGATTATTCTTATATTAGCTTTTTTAATTTATGTCCTTTACAATTACTTAAAATACACCAGCTGCAACTCAGTATCTCCACACAAAATGGTGTTTGTCCTATGAATCACCAACAGAGGGCAGTGGTGCCCTTTGAAAGAGAAGAGGCAGCACGTGCACTTTCCATCCTTGTGTGTGTGTGTGTGTGTGTGTGTGTGTGTGTGTGTGTGTGTGTGTGTGTGTGTGTGTGTGTGTGTGTGTGTGTGTGTGTGTGTGTGTGTGTGTGTGTGTAAATATAATGTACAGCTGGGCGTGGCGGGGAATAGATTACACAGTGGGGGACGGGTATATGCTGATGTAGGTAGCTGGTACTGTACAAACCTATAAATCTCACTGACACCAAATATTAACTAATGATTTTCATTCACAGGAATTACTCTCCTCTCCTCCCCTGGAACGCTGTCTGTCAACAACTCAACTGCACAATGTAAGAAACTACACTGATGAAGTATTCAATAATTGCCTTGATTAGGTCCCATGTCATGGCCATTTCTACTGATCATAATTCCATTGTTGAGGTCTACTAGAATAGATTTACATTGTTCAATGTTCCAAACTCACATTGGTTTCTCATACAGCATCTCTGTATAGTATGTGTATTCCCTCTCTGTCCTAAACGGCTTGTTGGAGCTCCTCGCCCCCCCCCCCTCCCTGTGAGCCCACTGTGCGCTCGCCCACTCTGTTCTGATGAGTCTACCACTATGGTCTACCACCGTTACAGCGGAACATCAGTGATTATGTGTTATAATGGCGTTAGCAACCAGAAAATGACACCAGTAATGACAAACAGATGAGAATGCTGCGTGGGGTCTGGGTGCCGTGTTGGCGGGACGTTGCGCGGCTCGCTGCTGCGAGGAGCGGACAGTGTGAGCTGGGTTCATTTGGTTATGGGCACGTCACTGTACCCAGGAAGAAAAAGAGAAATCCCCAACGAGGCGTTCTGGAGCAGCATAAACAGGCATTTTCTGTGTTAGAGTTTTACTCGCTACAGGGTGTACTTTGAGGGTTTGTGACTTTGCAGACCGTTTACATGCAGAGAAACCTTCATAACACACAAGGGGACGGGTAATAAGCGGAAAAAGGACATGGAACCTTTAACCTTCATGCCTTTACTAATAATAACTAATTCAGTGCTAACAGCAGAGTGAATGTTGTGCCTTCACATATTCAGTGCTGTCTTTAAAGCAGTATTCTCCTTTTTCCCCACAGATACGCTGAAGTCACTCCCAGTTTATTTGATCCAAGGCGCTTCTGCTAGGCGGGCACAGCAGAGTAAGTGATGGTGGTGTTGAATTTGATTCAAACGATTAAACCTCTTTTTTTTTAAAGACAGCCTGGATCACAATCCATCCAACTTGTATTCATATTTCCACATAACAAACAACATATTTCGATGCAAAGGCAGGCCCTCTGATGAATGAAGCAGTGGATAAAATTGATTTACCAAGACGTGTTTCATGTTTAATGTGATATTTCAACAGACAGAAGTCCAGAAGAAAAAAAAATCTAATGGTTAGGTACAAAGGTACAAAAAAGTACACTATTTACATTCTATGTGTACACCCTGCCTGACTTTTGCTTTGTTGGAAGCACCTTTTTACAGCAACAAGTGTTTGTAAATAATTCTCTCGGCTTTTATATTTTATACCAGTCCTCTTCGAAAAAACATTTCCTCACACAATATACATTATGCGGGACTTCCTTGTCTGAAGCCATACCTTGGCTGAAGTCGATGTGTGCTTTTGGTGTTTGTCATGATGAAATGTGAAATTCCTTCTGTTCTTTAGAGTTTTGACACCAGAAGGTTTTCTGCAAAAATATGGCATACAACCTGGAACAAAGGTCCCAAGGTTAGAATACATCTGGATGCTGCAGTGGTATAGCATATAGTGTAACCACTCTGACACACAGGCGCTCCACTCCACAGCATAATAAGTTCTCTGTTAGATCACCATTATTCAGCCAACACCTCCTGTTGAAAACTCCCCGTCTTGTTAACCCATTAACCACGTTTCCATGTCTTAACCCTGTGATGTGTTCAGGTGCAGACTTTAGTCTCCCCATTCTGCTGGAAGGCTGCCAGCCACAGGTCACATGACCTGGAAGAAAACACCTGGGAGACTTTTGGGATCCCTTTTCGGTGAGACAGACCTTCTCATTGTTATTGCTAGCACACAATACGAGCAGCATGACTGATGGGTCACTCTATTTTGAAGAAAAGCAATGAATGAGTCTAGGTTTGCTTCAGAAAGTATTGATCCTGCACAGAAACACTGACTTTGCCAAGAAAAACAAACGTATGTATTGATATGGTATACTTATTCTGTTTTAAAGCGTTTTTGTAGTGCTCCAACTTACTTCCTACTTCATTGTAACCTCTCTTTTCATTGGGCTTTAGCATGGGCTGCTTATCAACCTGAAGGGAAGTCCAAAGGCTGATGAACTGATCTCTGTGTGACACCACGTTGCTCTGGAGTCCTGTATGCCCTGGGATACAACACCCAGTGCAAATCTGGTGAGTAAAGACACTCCTTTGAGCGGTCAATGGTAATTGACTGTTAAAGTGCCACTTTAAGCCTCTAACTGATGAGATGAACTCCTCCATTGCAGAGAGGTTTAAGCTAGCAGGTTGCCTCAGAAGTTTTATAAAGCTGATGGGGGCTGTGTCACCGGCCTTGATGCGTGAGAAGATTTTGAATAAGCCTTACTATCAATGCTATAATGTGAAGAATTTGTGTAGATGCCCATACGAATGAGAAATATTTTGTGCGCATAACTTAACATCCAATATTCGCTAATCATTTCTCAAATATTTTCCAACCACTTCTTAATTGTATCTGTTCAGCCTCTCAGTTTCCCTAAATGCTCTGTAAAGTTAGAATAAGTAACAAGGCATATACTCTATCACTACAACATTGTAGTAGGGCTGCTGATTGCCAAAATATAATGCTGACATCATGCAGTTTTTTTTTTTTTTTGCATTTGATAAAAAACAAAAATGGTTGAACTCATAGATGAAAATATATGTTTCTGTCTGCATTTTATTTTTGCTCAAGTTGATCGAGGCTGCATTACAAAATGTTTTCAATGAAATGTAAACTAAATTTCCCATTAGACATTTAAATAAAGAAAACGTAGATACAATTCAATCCATTTGACTTGCACCTATCATTTATCAGAAGATATGATCATCTTGTTTCAGAGAGAGAAAGTTAACTATCAAAAAAAAGAAAATACATAAACAATGTTTAGAGTCCCAGTTTGTGCAGCCCGTTGTAAAACAGGTCAAATGTTTTCTGCTGCTCTCTCTAAAGTTTGCCTTTTCATCATTTTCCCCACCTTGCTAAATGTTCTCTCAGCAACTTCATTTTTTTGTCAGCAGCTATTTGATTTGGGTTTTTTCTACAATTCTTCTACTAAACCCGTTTTTCCTCTTATTTTCATAAATAGTCACCAACTACTATACTAGGGGTTTAGCTAAAGCAAATAATAATAATAATAACACATGAGACTTGTATAGCGCTTTTCTAGAAACTCAAAGACGCTTTGACAGGGAATAAAAAATAAAATTAAAATAAAAATACAAAAAGAGATAGGTGGGGGGGGTCAGTGGTTGAATGCAGTGTTGAACAGGTGGGTGTTGAGTGATGTTTTGAATGCGGTGACAGAGGAAGAATCTCTGCTGGATTGGGGTAGTGAGTTCCAGAGGGTGTGTGCAGCAACGGAGAAGGCTCTGTCGCCCCAAGACTTGAGGTTGGTCCGAGTGGGGATGGGGGGGGACAGGAAGTTGGCAGCAGCAGAGCGGAGGGAGCGAGTGGGAGTGTGTCTGTGGAGGACGTCAGTCAAGTAGGATGGGGCCGGGTGATGGAGGGCTTTGTATGTCAAAGGGTTCCTTTCACTTGACTCGTATTGGTTTAGGATCAGATCCTTGGTTTCCAGTTGTGGCTTGGTTTTATGCCTCTTCCTTGCTCATCTCAAGAGTCACTTCTTCGACAACGCCCAGTGTGTTGATCACATTTGAGTTGATATGCATTGTTCTAGGGTTGGACATGTAGATTACTTCCTGCTTCGGCCTAGGCATCATCTGCTTGTGTGAAAAATGTAGTTCCAGTTGATGGGAACAGTTTGACTGATTCAAGTCTTCTTGAAGGTTTTCTTACTATTTTTGCAAACACAATGTGGTTGAAATGCATTCCACATGTCCTTCAGTGCTCTCTTATATGATGCAATCTATGCTCTGCCGCTGAAGTCCGAGAACTCTGGAAGTCTCATGCATTTGATCATGGTTGCACGTATCAGTCTGAGCAGAAGCACCTCTCTGTCTTGGTTGACATCGCAATGGATCATCCTGTAAAGAAACAGCCTGCTGATGTAGTGGGAGCCAGAAATGTAAGAGTACCATTTCCTTTCCTTATGATGGTCTATCTTTACAATGTTTCAGTTTCCCTACACTAACATTCTGTGGGGAAAGAAGAATGGGGTCCAGCATTCTATGTCGCAGTCAGTGCTTTTCTTCAAAACCTTTTTGTACACAATTTCCAGCATCTCTTTGTGGTAGTAGATCTCTGTGGCAAAAAGTTCCATCCTTAAAGTGTCAATTCGTTTCCACCGAGATCCAATCCATACAATTTTCTTTGAGAATCACACAACCGTGTCACAGTAGGGCGAACAAGTCCTCTCTAGCAGCATTTTCTTTTTTGTTCCGAGCCTTATTATAGGCGGGGAAGTGGTGGCACTTCCAAATGTTTGTGATGTGTTCTTTATTCAGCATTTCAGCCCCAATGCTCACCAAGTCGCTTCAGATATTGCACATGCACTTTGCTGGTGCTGGCTCTGTGAAAAACGGCCATAAGGAACTACATTTGCCCAGCCATCTGCTATCAAAACCGAAAAAAAGGCAAGGTCACTATCTGGTTTGTAAATACATTTGAGAACGGTCATTACAAAGGACAAACCAGTCAACTGAGAATGTAGTCGCGTCTTAGCAAGAGCTTCTTTGTTTCTGTAGAGAAGAAGAAAACTCATTAATCTGATCAAAAGGAGTTGGTAAGATCTCAAAAGATTAATAAGGACACATCATATTTGTTTGGTTTATTATTAGTTAATGTAATGCAATTAGTCATCATAAGGGCTGTTTACAATTTATTTATCAAAATACAAGAATTGGAGTTAATGTATTTGGTTATTTTCATCTACGACAGATGTTTTTTAAAATATAAACAATGACTTAAAGTCTCTACTTTTAAATACTTTAGCTTAAAGAGCAACTTTGAGTTTTTTTTTTTTACTATATTTATGCTTAACCTTGCCTGAAAATTACAATTAAAAATGTTAATGCAGGATTTGATATGTTTTACAAGACATAAGGGCAGGAATTCAGAGGAAAAGGAGCCGTTTTGAGCTCTGCTACTAAAAACTGCTTTTTTTTAACGTCAAACGCGTCATATTACGTCACATGGGGGAGTTAACTTTCTCGGACTCGTTCTCTGCCCAATCTGCGGTAGTAGTTTGTAGTTGGTTTTTGGCGGTTGTGATTTAGTGAGCTGGTATTTTTTCGGTAATTTTACATTGCATTTCACCATTTGTAATCATGGTGAGCTTGTGTTTGTGCAGGTTGCAATAACTCAAGCCTGTCAGGACATCGAGTCCACAGTTTCCCCCACGGACACAAGAGAGCGAGAGCTAGCGTCGTTCCTGGGTGCGTGTGGCATGCCACCTCCGCCCTGCAGCCACCATATCCCGTCTCCAACACTTTATCAAAAAGAAACCGTATTACAATCTCTCATCCCCTTCCGCTGCTCTTCTCTCCCCCCTTCGCTGCTCCTCTCTCCCCTCCGGTACACGGCAGCGCGTAAGACATAGTTCGGAGTTGCATTAGGTAAAGCTTTGTGTTTTTTTGTTTCCCCCTGTCTGTTTTGTTTGTGTGTGGGGTGGCTCTCCACTCCTGCGGGAGGACCAACGGAGCCTCACACGCTCACTCCCCCTACCCCTTGAAAGAAGACATGTCTAAATAAGAGTGATATATAACTTAACTTATGAAGATGACTTGTCCGTTTCCAGGCAATGCAAATCAACCAATATTGATAGTAGGTTTTCTGGATATTCTTGTGAGGCATCAGCAGACCGCTTCTTGGTAATAGCAAAACTTAAAATATGTTTTGAATAAAGTAAAAATAGCAAAAACAACACTTATAACTTGTTTCATTGATTAAAAACAAGGTGTGCTAACCCTAAATCAGACAGCTTGTTAAAGTCTAGGGGTCCACAGACTTTTCCAATGATTGTTTGAATGAGTTTTTTCAAATATCAAACATTAATGTGTGTGCTTTAAGTTTAAACGGATTGTATTTGTTGATTATTGTACTAAGGGGAAAATAACCATCATTTTTATAACAATTGTATTACATAAATGCAGATTATTCCAAAGGGTTCATATAATATTGTTAAGCGTGACAGTACCTGTGTGTTTGTATCCGTGGTGTTTGCATTTCTAAGTGTTCGCTCCATTGCCTGAGGAAAGAAAATAATGTCGGTACAGGACCGTCAATACTTTAATAACAAAATTCAGAAGTACAAACAGGCCTTTTACATAACCTGCGCGTTTCTCTTGTCTTTCTTGATTGCATGTTTGTACAGTTTATGAAGCTTCTGGCATCGAGACTCCGTGAATTTAGAAACAAATATCCACAGGTTTCTGAGAAGGACAAACATGTAAACAATCAGTTTGATTCAATCAGTGAGAGTGATGCCAGGTTAGATCTTACGTCACTGTGTGTGTGTGTAGTAAGTAAGTAAGTAAAGTTATTTATATAGCACTTTTACAGAAAGGATTCACAAAGTGCCTTCCACAGTGAGATCACGATAAAAAGGAGAATACATGGTGGAAAACAGAGTGTGTGTGTGTGTGTGTGTGTGTGTTGGGGTGATGTGTGTGGTGTGTGTGTGTGTGTTGTGTGTTGTGGTTGTGTGTGTGTTGTGTGGTGTGTGTGTGTGTGTGTGTGTGTGTGTGTGTGTGTGAATCCCAATTTGAGTCTTTTTTCTAAGTATTAGGAACATAAGTAGAGTAAGCTGTCAGAGCCTTTCCTTCTCTGAGTAGCTCTCAGATCCTGGCTGCCACGATTATTGAAAAACACGTTTCAAATCCAGAATTCAAAGATTAAAATCAAAGGCCAAACTAGTGTTTCTGATGTCACGTGACTCACTGATCACACATTATAACGGTTTGCTTCATATCTTGTTTCCACATTTCTTGTTCTACATCAAGGTTACTTCCAGGAACCGTCACAACAACTTACTGTTGAGGCAGAAAGGGTAGAAAGTACACACATCCTTATCCTCAAGTAGAAGTACAGATACTCGTGTTTAAAAATACTCTGGTTGAATAGTAGAAGACTGACTAACTTCTTACTCAAGTAAAGTAAGAGGCTTTGAATGTACTTCAGTAAAAGTACCATAACTAGCAGCTGTTTTAAAGAGTACCTGACCTCCCTTTATATTTAAAGAACAATAATGT